CTAAAATAAAGATGTAAAAGTGAGCACTCTAAAAACAGCAGCTAATGCACCAAAGGTGACCAATATAAAACCTTCATCAATCAAATAAATATAGTGCAGTGCTAAAATGTCAATGATAAATGAAAGATACGAATAATCTCAAAGTGAGAGTATGTGCAAGTTAAAGTGGAGGTAGTAACAATCACGCTCCTGTGTCGTTACTCCAACAGTGATATGGTAAGAATGTGCACTCACCAGATATGCAATGTTAATGCGCATTAACAGTAGTAATGGTCCCCTCTAGGTAATGGATGTGGTCCTGGACAGGGGAAATCCTGTCTCTGCATATAGGTGGTGCTGAAGGAGCTCTCAGGAGATGGGATCAGGCAGCCAGGGGCCCATTTAAGGGGTGGAAGGAGGCGGCCGCTTATATACCAGGATCTCCTCTAAGGACAGCTGTACAACTCTGGATCAGAGTGGCTCTAGAAATTAGTAGCTCCACGTGGGAAGCCAAAGAATAGTGCCCATAGTGTAGTAATTTCAAAATAGCATAAATTTATTTAAGTATATATATAAAAAAATGTTTGCATCAGGGTAAGGGCAAGTATAAAGTGAGCAATGTGAAGTGGACTAACCGTCCCAATACTAACATGGCCGCCAGGCCTGCACGTCACTGGTATCCCATCTCTGAAGAAGCGCGTGCGCACAAAATGCATTAGCCAAAACGTCATGCCGCCGAAGCCACGGCGGCCATCTTAGTATTGGGACAGTTAGTCCACTTCACATTGCCCTTACCCTGGTTTAATAAATATATATACATACATACACACACACACATACACACATATATATATATATATATATATATATATATATATATATATATATATATATATATATATATATATATATATATACATATATACACACACACACACACACATATATACACACACACACACACACACACACATATATATATATATATATATATACATATACACACACACACACACTTTAGTAATTTCAAAGTAGCATAAATTTATTACACTATGGGAACTATTCTTTGGCTTCCCATGTGGAGCTACTAATTTCTAGGGTCACTCAGATCCAGAGTTGTACAGCTGTCCTTAGAGGAGATCCTGGTATATAAGCAGCCTCATCCATCCACCCCTTAAAGGGGCCCCTGGCTGCCTGATCCCATCTTCTCCCGAGAGCTCCTACAGCACCACCTATACGCAGAGACAGGATTTCCCCTGTCCAGGACCACATCCATTAATTAGTGGCGACCATTACTACTGTTAATGCGCATTAACAGTGCGTATCTGGTGAGTGCGCATTCTTATATCACTGTTGGAGCACCGACACAGGATCGTGATTGTTACTACCTCCACTTCAACTTGCACGGCCTGTCACTTTGAGATTCACATCTTTCATTTATCATTGACATTTTAGCGCTGCACTAATTTGGTAAAACATACTCACTTGCCTAATAATTGTGCACAGTGTGTGTATATATGTATATATATATATTAAAAAACCAAAAAAAAACAAACTTTCACACAAACCAATTCACGTACTTATTTGGATTTTTTTTTAACCAAAGACATGTTGCAGAATACATTTTAGCCTACATTTATGAAGAAATTTAACTTTATTGGCTGTTTTATAACAAAGTAGAAAATTTACAAAATTTTTGGCCTTTCGTATATTCAATTAAAAAAAAACAAAAAAAAACACCCCAGTGGTGATCAAACACAACCAAAAGAAAAGATATTTGTGTGTGTGTTTGGGGAAATAGAATTTAATTTGCATACAGTATTGCATGACAATGCAATTGACAGTTAAAGCACAGTACTGAACAAAAAATGGTCTGATCATGAATGGGGTAAAACCTTCTGGAGGTCAAATGGTGAAAGCAATTCTAAAAGTTTTTTTTTTTAACAGACATGTCTATACTTACCTGCTGTGTGCAGTGGTTTTGCACAAAGCAGCCCAGATCCTCAAATCCCCCGTCAGTGCTCCTGGCCCCTCCTTCCTGTCAAGTGCCCCCACAGCAAACAGTTTGCTATGGGAGCACACGCTGCTCCGTGTCCATTTACACAGAAAGCCGCGGCTCGGTCCTGCCACCCTCTCTTCTCATTGGCTGTGATTGACAGCAGTGGGAGCCAATGACTCCTGCTTCTGTCTCAGCCAATGAGAGGGAGTCTTGGGATAGCAGAGACTCCAGCACACATCGCTGGATCCAGGAGGGGGCTTGAGTATTGGGGTGGGGGGAGGGAATGCTGCACAGAGGTATTTTACCTTCGTGCATAGAATGCATGAAGGTAAGAAAACCTTGAGCCTTAATAACCACTTTAAAAGTGTTTTCCCACTTTTGCAGCCATATAATCTTTTCTTGCTATATGTTTATAAGTGGGCAGGGGAGTTGTGTTTGCCATACTTAATCCTGCTTATACGGTGCTGGCTTATTAAATTAACAATTAACTAGATGTTCAGGACTAATTGTCCTAACAAAGGATTAATGATTGTGAAATTGAATGTTACTATACTACCCCGAGTCTTGTCCCTTACTGCCATCTTTTCAAAGCTATAGAAGCTGCCCAAAAGTATCCTGCTCCAAATGAATAAAAAGAAATTAAAATATTTTGAAGTATGTTGTGTGAATGGGAACAGTTTTTTGGGGGTTTTTTTTGTAATTGACTGCAAAGGTGAAAATACACTTAAAGTTACAGTTATTAAACTCCACGTGTTCAATAATCAAGTATCGCATGCAGTAGTGGTGAGATCTCTTAAGGAATTTTGACCAGACAGATATGGTTTCAACAATATAATGTCACAAAGTAGGAGTTAAGGGTGGGATTTTTTTTTCTTATTAGGTGTGCGACGTACAATTTCTAACTGGTTTCTGACTTTTACCCCTTATCCTGCACACTAAACCCCCCCCCCCCCCCCCCATCCTACCACTGTATGTGACCCTCACATTAAACCAACTCCTGCATGACCTGCACTTTAAATGATGTGCTGTATCTAGTGCATTATTACCAAGCTCTGTGGTGTGTAACCACCTCATTGCCAGCAGGTTTCTTCATTTTCATAAAACTGGTCATTTTGGGTGTACTTGGGGGTGGCCAGTGGAGTGTTCCTAAATATCCTGCAATTTTATGTGTTTAGGGCACATTTTTCAAAAAGGTGTGGCCTTTCCTTTATACATAGTTAAAAACACCAAATTAAATTAGTTGATCCAGGGAATATCAGGGGATCAGGAAGGATTTTTTTTCTCTGCAGAAGCAAATTGGACCATGCTTTGCTAGGTTTAATTTTGCCTTCCTCTGGATCAACTGCGGGTATAGGATAACTTTTTTTTTTCTTTTAATGGTTGAACTGGATGGACTTTTGCTTTTTTTCAGTCAGACTATAACTATGTAAAGCACACTAACAAAAAAATATAAAATTCATCTGGGTAGTGTTGAATGACCAGACGATTGTTAAACGATCACAGCTCTGAAAATGACCTGGTAATAAAAAACGGAATGTACAGGTTAACACTCAACTGATTAATTTGAGAATAGCTGTAGACTTCAACACCAGAGGCAAGCTATTCAGCCAGGGAATGTAGAGTGTCAGAATTAGACGCAGTGGTCCAAGGCACAGAGACTGCGGGTGAATCATATATAATCTACGAGAGAAGGTGTGGGAGCAAGCGTGTGGCTTTTGCACTCAGCCAATAACTGTGTGATTAGGTCTATAAAAGACTTGAATGACCAGAGAAAAAAAAAAAAAAAAAAAAAAAAAAAAAAAGCACATCTGGTGCTAAAGAGGACACAGTTGGTGGACTCTAGGAGCAGAGGCCAAAATAATTCAAGGTTGCAGAAACTTGCACAGTCAAAGGCACATTGCAAGCTACCCATAGTCATTAGTAGAAAGAGCTCAACTGCTCATAGTAGGGGAGCATCAGATAGCTAGAGGTGACCCAAGTCTTTGTAGATGGGTAGCAAGAACAGATCAAAATTCCACATGGCTCTTTTCAAGCAGCAGCAATGAGGAGGTGCTTTGATGCTGCATTGTGGGAAAGAGCACACATTGACTGACTCATGGGATGTCAGTGCTCAATTCCATAGTGTTAACCCCTTCTCCAGCAAAAATGGGCAGGAATATTGAAGCAGCCACTGACACTAGATAGCTGCAATCTGACAGGCTAACCCAATCCAGTAGAGAAGAATCATAACTGAAGTATAAGGTGTTCACAAAAAAAAAAAAAAAAGTAAGTCTTAACACAGTAGAGCGGGCAAAAAGACATCCATCCTAAGACATTCGCAAGAAACAAAGGCATGCTGGTAGTATGGGATGTTAACCTAGGCTGGCCTACAGCTGTCAAGTGTCTAATCCCCATCCAGACAGCAGAACCTAAAAAGACTTCCGTGTTTCTCAATGTACAAGACAGACTACTGCTCTATGGCATCACACAGCAACAGGGCATCAAGAAAATGATATATTTCTCTGTAACAATATACCCAGATGACCTACTGGATTTAAAGCATCCATATTAGAGAAAAAAAGAAATTGCTATGAAACAGATGTGTCAATTCTCAGCTCAAAATTTATTTCATTAAACAGCTGCATCCTAACTGGGTCACAACAAAAAGAAAAATAAACCCCATTCACGCCAACTGAAATGTGATGCTCAAGTCCATTATCTCTCATTAAAGGCAACACCCATACATTTCCCTGGCTGAGATGCATTATTTCTCTGTAACCATTATAGATTCCAGTCCCAACTTTATTACATTTTTTTCAAACTGGTTTATTTGTTACTTTGGATGACTATAAAATAAGTGTTTCCACTATGGAAAAAGAAAGTGAACACAGTACATTTGCATGACTGGGGAATGGATTTTTGTTTCTCAGAAAACTTCTGAAGGGCAAAAGCTTAGAAAAAACAACCTGAATGTTTGAACTCAGTTCTTTTTTCTTAGTTACAAAGTCCCTTGTAAAAATAAAAGTACAAGGCTCTAGAGGACTTATTGCTTCTCTTCTTCCGTTTTTTCTGGTTTGGCCTCCTCTTCTTGGTCTTTCACCTTGTCCTCTTTTACCGACAGTTCTTCTAGTTTTTCTGCAACTTTATCAGTACTATCGTTTTTGGTCGAGTCTGCTGAAAACAAATGAGGTTACTAAGTGATTATGTGAAGAACGCTTATACTAAGAGCAGCTTTCACACTGCGCTGCTGTGCCTAGGGCAAAGCACAGATAACCCACAGTTTTCGTGCAGGTTAGCTGTGCTTTCACAAAGATGTCAATTATATCCCAGTGTTTTGGTGCGCTTTCAGTAAAAGCAGCAACTCCTCCATGCAGCAGCACAGTGGGGCAGAGTGAAACCACCCTAATTTAGCACACAGCCTCTCATACAGTGGCACATATAACCCAAAAGGTTTGTCTAGTAGGTCCAGCAGACACGCTCTTAATGCTCCCTTATAGTAGCAAAAAAAACACAGATTTAAAACAGTTATTGTCTGGAAAATATTTTCATGCTTCAGGAGTAGTGATCAAATCTTCAGTTGAGACAAAGTAATTCATATAGAACTAAACCTTCCTATCCTTTTCAGCCAAGGAAGCTACCATCTGATCTGCAACTGCCATGGAGATGCACATATGATCAGTTAGGACACCAGCCATTTGATGGTTTGAAAGTTTGGTTGAGACTTTTTTACATTAAAATATAGATAGGTGCATCCAACCCCTGGGATGTTTTGGCCATTCATATAAATGAATATTGTGACCCAAACACTATATGCACCTTGCAGATGTGAACACTGCAAAGTAATATAAGGTGAACACAGCTGTCGACTACACCCTAACCTACCTGGCATTTTGGTTTCTATTAAATAAATCTGTGCAGTGTAAAAACTGTCCCCAGAAGCAGACAGCAGTCACCTGAATATACCTTTAGATAGTGGTTGTAGCAGCTTCAAAGCTGTGAAACCTAGAGTGCCCCATTCTGCTAAAGAAAGGCCTATAGCTAGAAGTTGGTGCTTTGTTCTGCCCCTCTTGCTTCCCACACCTCATGATTGTCAGCAAGGCTGGATACATTGCAACACTAGACTGAGAAGTAGAAAAGAAACAAAGCCCCTAAATTCCTAAAATTGAAGGTAAACAGCTTTACCTCTACTTATACTTCTATTATTTAAAATCAACTTTATTATGCCCCCCCATAAAAAACCACCAAAGGTTTACAAGTCAAAACAAAAAACACTAGTTCCTTGTAAATGGTTTCACATGGTCTGAAAGCCACTGATGGAATAACAAAAATTGGTACAATCAGGACAAATACAAAGGAAGCGCATGGAAGTTTCTTGTCGTGGCCAGTACAACATTTCTTTTAGAGGAATATGTGCTCAAAAATCTAACACAAGCATCTCTTTAACACGGATACTTTAATATAACTGAAAATTACTTAAAGTGGTTGTAAAGGCTCTATATATTATATATATATATATATATATATATATATATATATATATATATATATATATATATATTTTTTTTTTAAATGCATGAAGGTAAAAAATCCTCTGTGTGCAGCATCCCCCCAAACTAAGCACCTTCTCGATCCAGCAATGTGCACTGTAGTCTCCACTGTCCCGAGACTCCCTCTCCTCATTGGCTGAGAAAGCAACAGGAGTCATTGGCTCAATCACTGCCAGTTAGCCAATGAGAAGAGAGCGCGGAACCGAACCACAGCTCCGTGTGTGAATAGACACACGGAGCAGCGGCTGGGGAGTGCACATGCTCAGGTGCCCCCATACAAAGCTGCTTGCTGTGAGGGCACCTGACAGGAGGGAGGGGCCAGGAATGCTGGCAGGGGACCCAAGAGGAGGAGGATGGATCTGGGCTGCTCTGTGCAAACTCACTGCACACAGCAGGTAAGCATAGACGTTCTTTAAATTTAAGCCTTTAGAATCACTTTAACGTAGGGCTGCCAAAAAACAAACAACATTCTAAAACCAAAGAATATCCCAAGATCATAGAAAACTTTCCTGAAAAAGAAAGCAGTATAGATACAATCCTGGTTTTTCTATAGCAGACTGAAAAAGTGCCATTACTGGAGGTTTGCAGTTAGGCACAGAGTGAGTCTGCAATAAGAAAAGTAGTTTAATTTACCTTTTGTTTGTTTGTCCTTGACTTCATTTCTGCATTCATCAAACTTTGCCTTGAACTTCTGGGCATCTAACGAAAAAGAAAGCACTTACATTTTACACTAACAAACAAGTCTTTACGTAGTCTTTTTATATAGAAGCCAAAGCAAAAATAGACTTAAAACACCTATGTAAATGAAAGCAGAAGAAATGGAAGAACCATCTAGTACTAAATGATATCACTTGTCACTCTTACTAGGGAGAACCTTTAGTTTTACATCATATGATCACAGTTCACAAAAGGACATATATCCTTCAAATATATGCAGAAGCCTAGTATTTAAAACAAGGAGCTACTGAACATAGTTTAATGGAAAATGATCTAAAAAATAAAATGCACTACTTTTAGGTGCCACTGCACCTAAAAATGACTGTTGCCACTGTCTGGCTCTAATAGTTAAATCATTATCCAAAACAAGAATGCAGCAAGGAAAAACCTCTGATCTGCTTACTTATTCCAGGGGAATGATCGAGAGCATTTACCCTTTTTGCTGTCAGAGCGGTTTGAGAGGCGCTCAAAACCAAAAACATTTTCTGAAAGCAAAGACCTTGGAGAATAAAATGATAGTTCCACATTAAAAACACAAAAAAATATTAAGTTCTGTAAAACAAAAACCCCCCCAAACACTTAAAGGAGAAGTTAACCTTTAGGAGCAGATTATATCCATATTTAGGGTGTAACGAGCAATATGGTCCTATATACCCATCTCCTGCTGCCAGTAATCCGCTCTGACAATAGGGGGATCTGCTCCCTGCATCCGCTGTCACAAATTGAAAACAGCATAGTTTCTGCGAATGAATAGACGAGTAACGTCAGCTATTGTGGCTGACGGCTTGTAGTGCTCTATGAACTGCAAAGGCAATGGTGAGCACTCTCGTAGTTCATGGATTCTTCATGCCATTCAGGAACTGCCTGCTCTATGGGAGGTACATGCAAATAGTTTACCAAGAGTCTGCAGAATTCTGGCATAGCACCCATGATCTGCTTATCACAGATGCAATGCTCTGCAGACTCCATCGTAAAAAAAAACATTTTTTACCTGCAAGAAGATGTGCATTATTTATTACAAAAGGAGAACTCAGCCTTTAAGTTAATGTTTTAGCACACAGATGGAATACTTTACCCAATTTTCTGTTAAAATATATAAACTGCTGTGCTGGGATACACGGCAAGTCTTTTGAAACAACTGTGAAACAATGAATGTCGCCAATAAAATGTTTCCATTGGAGACACCTTAAAAGCCTCCACAGGTCCTAAAAGTTGAAAATGAGAGCCGAACTAAGGGCTTGTTCATACCACACATGCATGAAAACTGATGGGAAAAAAAAAAAACTGTGCAGATTTCATTTGCAGAGACATGATTTTACAACAGTTTCAGATCAGTTTTCATGTGCGTTTCAGTGAGGTTTTATGCACGTTAACATCAGTTTTCATGTGCATCAGTTACGTGCCCTATTTACACCACAGTGTTGATGTCACGTCAGTTTATATTTCCGTGCAAAAAACAGCATACATGTTGAAGGTTCTTGTGTAGGAAGGAAAAAAAATAAAAAATCTGCATGTGATACTAGTGTTGTGATGTCAACAGGGCACATGCAGAACAACCCCCCTTCCTGACCAGGCCATTTTTTGCACTACGGCACTGCGTTACTTTAACTGACAATTGCAAGGTCACAGCGACACTGTAAATAAATGAAAATGTATGTCCTTTTCCCCCCCATAAATAAAGCTCTCTTTTTGCGGTATTTGATCACCTCTGCGGGGTTTTTTTTTTTGCACTATAAAAAAAAATCCCAATACAGAAATTAATTGGTTAATGTAAAAGTTATAGCGCCTTCAAATGGAGGCAATTATACATATACTACACACACTGGAATTTTTATTATAAAATATAATATATAGTAATGGCGGCGATCAGCAACTTCTAGCGAGACTGTGGCGGTCATTCTGACACTGAGTGGGAACGGACATCCCCAGTGACACCAATACAGTGATCAGTGCTAATAAAAAGCACTGACTGTACTAATGACACTGGGCCGGAAGGAGTTAACATCTGGGGCGATCAAATGGTTAACAGTGTCCTGTGTGTGTTTTACATTGTGTGCCGTTTGCGGTTTTTACTTGGGAGACATGCTGCTTTGTATTTCTCTGCTGTGCAAAGATACAAAGCAGCTGCTGACAGAAGAGACCTGTACTGTTTACACACAGGTCTTTCCCTTGTCATGTTAATGGTATGTTTCACATTGTGTGCTGGTTTACAATGTAGATATGCTGCTTAGTATTTCTCTGCTGTGCTGTCCTTGCTGACAGGAGAGATATCTGTGGTGTTTCTCCCCTGTCAGCGTCCCCGACTATCACCAAGTGCCAGCGGGGAATTGCTGGCCAGGTCCTGGTGATTTACATCTCTAGCCGACAAGGGAGGAGTGGGTAAGGCTGGCGCATGCACTGCATTTTGCGCAGCCCTGCAGCAGTACTTCTACTATAGGGTGGTGGGCAAGCAGTTAATCTACTGAAGTTGTTAAATCAGGTAAATCCAAAATATATGCATTATGTAGCCATTTCTTCAAGAAGCAAATGGAGGTGCAGAGCAGTGCCTTTATTTGTAAATACAGGCACAGGATCTAGCTTGTTCCTCTCTCCCTGGAACCATTTTGTTTCAGGGAGAAGAAACACATCACACTTGAGTAAAAGCAGCACACTGCACACACACGTTAGATACATTTTAACCCCTTGTTTGTCACATTTACCCCTTTGATTGCCCCCCTGCCAGTATCACAGTGTTAGTGTACAGTATTTTGCACCGATCAATGTATTTGTGCCACTAGCGACGTCAGATAGCATCAGGGTCAGTTAGCGTCCCTCCCAGATAGCGTTAGATTGCCCGCACACTATAGGTCGCTGATCACGGTCATTCCTAGTATAGTGTATGTACGGATCAATATATTAATCAAAAACTATACCAGTGCCCCCTTAGTATTCGTGTCCCCAAAAACAGTGTTAGCAAGATCATCCCCGTTCGCTGCCAGCACTAGTTTAGCCCCAATGCTCCCCCACCCCCTAACAAGAAGTGCAGTTTCAGTATAATTTCTGATCACTGTCACCTGTAATACATTGCACACAAAACCGCAGTGTTCACAGAATTAGGCCTGATCTCTGTTAGCACTTGCCGGTAAATTTTATTGTAGCAGTTCAAGCAGTTCCTGACAGCCAGGTGTTCTTTTTTCCCCGTGAGTCGCACTAGGTACCTGTAAATTTAGAGTCCAAAATGTCCAATGAAAGGTACACTAGTGAAGAGGCCTACAGGATTCTGAGCATGTCAGGTGAGAGCGAAGGGAAAGACACAATCCACCTCAGAATACGAACCTGTAGACAGCATCGGCACCCTGACAGGTAGCTCGGATGATGGAGAAGAGGTCCCTGTTAAGATCAGGCATACTCGACCCCATGAAGCTGAAGTGCTAGGATCACATGACTTGTCTAATATGCAGCAGAGTGCCAGTACTAGTGAACACTAACTTTTGGTGAACTGGCAAGCACCAGCAGCCTAGTATACCCTGGTCTCTTTCATACTAGCAGTGCAGTATCCCTTAGCGACATGACGAGTCCCAGAAGGGAAGAACAAGCTTTGGCGGTGGTGAGCACAAGTAGTGTCCCGCAGCCACCAAAAATTCACACACAGGCCCATAGAGCCCCTAGTGTCATTCCGAATGTGCTTGCAAATCCTAATTGTCAGCCCACAGATTCTGCAACATCCGTACTCCCCCCATTCACAGCCCAACCCGGAATTCAGGTGGAAAAAGCAAAATTTAAACGCCCTTAATTTTATGGAGCCGTTTTTCACAGAAGATTTCCACAATTTGATTGTGAGCCAAAGCAATTTATATGCTCACCAATATATCGCCGCAAACCTTGCCAGGCAACTCGCATGGAAACCCAAATACAGTTTCCAAATGTAAGGCTTTTTCAGGCCTAACCCTCAACACGGTCATTACAAAAAATAATGAATTGTGGTCATACTGGTCCACAGACCCGATTCATCATATGACCAGGCATAGATATGAGACGATAATGCGCTTCATGCATTTCAGTGATAACACATTGTCATCCTCAGGTGACCCTGAACATGACAGGCTCTACAAAATTCAGCTCCTCAAACCACCTCACTGAGAAATTTGCAGAGGTGTATACGCCCCAGCAAAACATCTGCATGGATGAGTCCCTCATTCACTTTACTGGCAGACTGTATAAGCTCTGTGAGAGGGCCACAGGCTATACGTACAAATTTAGGGTTTATGAGGGAAGAAACAGCGAAGTAGAGCTCCCTGACTGCCCAGACTACATGGGGAAGAGTGGCAAGATAGTTTGGGACCTGGGTGTTGTATTTGTTCCGTAAGGGGTACCAATTTGTATACAAGCGTACCACCATACACTTGTATAATCCTGGAATTGGATCATGTGGCACCGTGCGACCTAATCGCCGGGGCTTCCTCCACCGACTTAGGGGGAGAAAGCCTGCTTGAGGAATGATGAATTGCTCGCAGTGAAGTGGAAGGACAAACGGGATGTTTTCGTCCTGTCTTCAAATCACGCAGACGCAACAGTCCAAATTAACACGGTATCTGGCGTTGAGAAACTCCTCTGTGTCCATGACTATAACCTTAACATGGGAGGAATGGACTTCAAAAGACCAAATAAAAAAAAATCCATGCCTAGTTTCCCGGAAAGCTCAACACTGGTACAAAAAGGTGTCTGTAAATTACAAAAGCATTATATATAGCCAATTGAAATAGATAAAGCAACTGGACGAAGGCGTTGAGGCCGAATCCTCAAATCCACACACTTTCTGGCAGAGATTTCTTTTTTCTCATTTAGCCCACAGGCTGCATGAAAAAAAAAAAACCAAAAACCCCCAAACATAGCATATACACCCAACAAGGACCAGCGACAAACTGGTATATCACTGGATTTTAAGTGGTTATACCAGGATGATGCCTGCAGCTGCAGGCATCATCCTGGTATCGTTTTTTTCAGCCGGCAATTGGCTTTCAAGTAAAAGCAATCCTAGTGGCTAATTAGGTGCTGAATTGCTTTTACAAGCAGCGGGAGATGTTCTCCCTCCCCCCGCTGCCTTCTCAGGCAGTCCCTAGCCATCAGGGGAACCTGAGAATGCAGCCAGTGTTTCTGCCAGCTAACCATAGAGCTGATTGGAGACATGATTGGCACCATTCCACTCTATAGTCTAAGAAATGGGAAGCTACGAGCACTTCATCACTTTAGTTTCACAGGACACCGATCTTTGTAAGATTAGATAATGTAAGGCAGAGTAAATTTCTCAAAAAAAAAAAAAAAAAAAAAAATAGCGTCCATTGAAGTTATAGGGATATTGTGATGGCATTAAAAGTGACAAACATAAAAAAAAAAAACCTAATTAAAAAGCACCCTGGCACGTGGCATAAACTTCACCCCCAAAAACGATCTCCTTTTTGGAAAGTAGACACCCCAAACTATTTGCTGAGAGGTATGTTGAGTCAATAGAATAATTTATTTTTTAGCACAAGTTTTTAGAAAATGACAAAAAACTTTTTTTTAAAAACACAAAAAAACTGTCACTTATGATTTATTGCTCACACATTCCATGGGTATATGTGGAATTACTCCCCAAAATACATTCTGCTACTTATTCTGAGTATGGGGATACCACCTGTGCCAAGTACAGGACCCCAAAATCCAATAAGCACCTTCAGGCTTTTAAAAAGTGCTTTATTTCCTCATTACACTTCCTGACTACCTATCAGTTTCGGAGGCCCTGAAACATTAGGATCGCACCAAATTCCCCCAAATAACCCCCATTTTGAAAAGTAGACACCCCAAGGAATCTGATAAGCATGGTGAGTATTTTGCAGATCTAGTTTTTTGCCACAAGATTTTGGAAAAACATTTTTTTTTTTTTAAATTACAAAACCTTGTGAGAAAAAATAAATAAATAATGATCTGCAAAACACTCACCATGTCTTTTTAAATTCTTTGGGTGTCTACTTTCAGAAAGTAAAAGCTGTGTAAATTCCATTATCTATGCCACAGTTTGTAGATGCTATAACTTTCAAACAAAGCAATCAATATACACTTACTGGGAATTTTTTTTATACCAAAAACATGTAGCAGAATACATTTTGGCCTAAATTTATGATGAAATTTGATTTTGTTTGGCTATTTTTTATGACAGAAATGAGTAACTCGTTTTTCTCAACATTTTCGGTCTTTTGTTTATACCGTGAAAAATAAAAGCGCACAGGTGATCAAATACCACCAAAAGAAAGCTTTGTGTGGGAAAAAAAAAAAAAAAAAAAAAAAGACATAAATTTCATTTATGTACAGTATTGCATGACCGTGCAATTGTCAGTTAAACTAGTGCAGTGCTGTATAGCAGAAAATGGTGTAAATTGCAGTATCTATACCATAGTTTGTAGATGCTATAACTTTCACACAAAGACAGAGTTTACTATATTTTTTTTTTTTTAACCGAAAGTAAAAAAAATTCAGTCTTGTTTATAGCATGAAAAATAAAGCGCACAGGTGATAAAATACCACCGAAAGAAAGCTTTGTTTGAAAATAGGGACATACATTTTATTTGGATACAGCATTGCATGGCCGCGCAATTACTAGTTGAAATAGTGCAGCTCTGTATAGCAAAAAAGAGGCATGGAGACATCTCACATTTGACTGCAAACGTGGAAACATACCAAGCTGAACTGTACATACAACTGAATGACCCATTCTAGCAGTTTAACAGCTCAGCCCCACTCTGCCTGAAAAACCTCAACTACTGCCATGCTGTATCTTTAGCTTACCAATATTTCTTTTTTATAAGTATTTGCAAATCAAAGTATGTGTGTATATTAGTGGGAATTTAAAATAGTGGGCTTAGAAAGATGAACATTCAGAGTACTGCTTTAACTAGTATTCAAAATGGATAATGGCTTTTAGCACTTTAGTCTTAGCTTCTGTTTTCTCTTCCTTCTTTTGATATATGAATCTTCACTCAAGCTATATCCTGAGGATAAGGGTCAGTGTGACCCAAAGATAGTTTTGAGTAGTAACATGTTTTATGTAATGTTGGTTTCACAATCTAATAGCATAACCTTAAAACACCTAAAATGTATTATTGATTATGGAACTAAATATCACTTGTTAAAAATAAAAAAACTCACGGGTTTTTCAAGTTTTGTGTCAGTTTCAGGTGGGCATTATCGTCAACCACCACTTATCTATTTCTACCCAAAAGGGCAAAGTTCTTAACCAAAATCATAAGGCAAAGTGAAAGTTACAATCATGTTTAAAACTCAAAATACTCACTTTCTGCATTTAAAAAATCGAATGGCAAGCAGCTCAGGCTTCGGTGACTCATCCGCATAATCTGCATATGTATTCCAAACCCAGGCTCGGTCACTTCCTGCATTGGGTTTTAGCTCCATTGCAGGTGTAACTGTAAAGACGAGAAAGCAATCATTATTCACTATATGGGTTCAAGACAAATATCCATGACAACTTTCTAATCAAAGTTTCTATAAAACAGGCTTCATCAACAGAGGTAAGAGGCAAAAAAAAAAAAAAAAAAGTGGTATAAGTTTAAAAGTCACAAGGGAATTGAGCACTGCTGATGTGTATTCAGTGATCATCCTTATTGAGGCCAGATTTATTTAAATTCTTACAAAACCTTTAATGCCCAAATAGAATGAAGTGTAGACTCACACAATACAAGTAAGGGCTCGTTCACACTAGGCTGTTTTGCCAACGCTTGCCAAACGCCCCTATAGCGTTTGGCAAGCGTTGGTCCGGCGTTTGCGAAGCGTTTTTTAACGCTCGGCAAACGCCGCATGCGCGGTTTTTAGCGGCGGTTGCTAGGCGTTTGCCGAGCGTTAATAACGCCCCACAAACGCCTATAATGCAGTTTGAGTGGTGTTACCGCTCCGCAAACACCCCGCAACCGCGTCGCAAACGCCAGCCGGGCGTTTGCGGAGCGGCACCATAGACGAGAATAGGAGGCTTCAAAGCCTCCTGACTCTTCCAGAGGCGTCCGTTTTGCCTCGACGCAACGCGACGTGACGCAAACGCTCCCGTTAGAACAGCACCATGTGCTGTAATGTGCAGAATTGGCAGAGGCGTTTGGGAAGCGGTAAAAACGCTTCCCAAACGCCTCTCTGCCGCCTGCACACAAGGCTAGTGTGAACGTAGCCTAAGGCAATGCAAAATATCCACTGAAATGCTGGAAGGCTCTGGGTGTGGTTAGGGGAAGAATCTGGAGCAGACATACCGTACCAGTAGGGCACTGCTGGAGGCACTAGGAAACTACTTTGCTCCCTGGTCATGTGACGTATCACATGACTTGGGAGAAGTACGTGACTTTACTCCCTAGTGGGCACCTGTATTGATGGCAGGTCTGCTGCTGCATTATAGAGGCAGTGATCTACAATGCCTCAATTTGATGCCTAATGAACAATGCCCAGCTCTGCTGCCCTGGCTACAGGAAGACTAAACTGCAGCTGCCCAAAAGCCCACACTTTAATCATTGCTTGGATCAATGTAACTATGCAATAAAAATCATACCTGGAGTTCAGCTTTATATCAGTATTTAGTGCAAAATGTAAACTTAGCCTATTCTCCCTCTACCCTAATAAAAATGAATAGGCAAGCTGCATATTGCATACACTATATTGCCACAAGTATTGGGACACCAGGAATGTTCAATTTATATCGCCCAACAGCCGGGACACCTGTCAGGTGGAAGCATTCGGGTGGCAGCGCTGCCACCCGATTGCTCAACACAGCCAACTATCGTGCTAGCCTCAACCCCCCTTCCCCACATCTGCTATGTCTCCTGGGCTCTGCTTGTCCATCAGTGGGCCCGGGACCAGTTCAGTGGCTGCCGGCGGGTATAGGGCAGGGGGAAGAGTGGACACATCCGCTCTCCTCCCCTTCTTGTCCTGACCCAGAAGTGATGCCGATGACAGATTCCCAGCCATGGGAAAGAATGTAATGCAGTGTGATGTGCACTGCATTACATTCAGTGGAGCACAGGGGAGACATTTGGGGTCCCTGGATGTCTCAAAAGGGAGGAGAGAACCTGTCACCAAAAATAATCACATAGGGGACCTTTTTTTTTTAAATTAAAGTTACACCCATGCACATAACCCCCCCCCCCCCCCAAAATGTTTCAAGCCCCCCCCCCACATATGTAAGCACGCAGAAACGTAAAAGCACACGCTGGGGCACCTACACATGAAAACGATTGTAATACACGTTACATATCACCACGCATGCCAGAATGAAAGCAATAATTCTAGCACCAGACCTCCTCCGTAATGCTAAACTGATGACATATAGAGGGGGCTTTTAAAAAAAAAAAAAAAAAAAAAAAAAAAAAAAAAAAGTCACCTAAAAGAAAATATAGGGTTACTAAGGTTTGCTGCTATTTCATGAGCGTACACAAATTTAAGGTTTGACATGTCGGATATCCATTTATTCGATGCAGCCTCGTCTTTTATATTTTACAAAAAAAAATTGGATAATTTATTGCTTTTTGTGCCCTACAAATTAAGTGTTTTTTTTTACTGACATTTTGAGTTTTCTAGACCTTTGTGATGTGACAAAAAATTGGAACTACTGCTATTTTATTTTCTAGGGTCTCCGATTTCAGAAAATATATCTTTTGGAGTTGTGTAATCTTCTGGCATTAAATGATTTTTTAAAACGTGTGCAAAAACAGCTCTGGAAGTGAAAGGGATAAAGGATAAGCCCTGACCCACCCTTTCCTGGAGGAGCACCCAATCGCTGCTCATTACACTGCAAGGTCTCTCCCCCTCCCTGCTAGTCCCCAGGTGCGGTGCTGGAGACAGGCAGGGAGGGGAGGTAAACAGCACAATGTTAAAAATATTAAACATTTAAGTCACCATAAAGTCTCTTTAGTGTTTTGTTTTTTTTTTTATTTAAAGCCCCAGACATTACTGGGCGGTTTTAAATATGGCTTTCATTAAAATGTATTTTTTTTTTTTAAATCAGGAAACGTTTTGATTGTTTTTCAGGGGTTGGGCTTTGCCCCTTAGTTTCAATGTGCAAAACCATTGCACAGAGCAGGCAAGTATGAATTTTTTTTTTAATTAAAATAAACACCTGAAGCTTTTAAAGAATAAGCTTCACTTTTGGGAACATGTTACATATTTCACCCAATGTTTGGGGGGGGGGGGGGGGGGGGGGGGGGGGGGGGGGGGACATGTACCCAATGCTGCAACCACTGTCCAACACCCCCCCCCCCCCCCCCCCACAGCAGCATTTCTGTGAATGAACTACAAGTCCCGACAGCCTTAATGGATGTTGGCTTGCAGTTCTCAATTAACTACCGCAGTGCTGTGGAAGTTCATTGAATCTTCCTGTCAGTATACCTGCTTGCCAGTACGGTCAAGCAGATCTACTGATAGGTCTGCAGGGACAACTACATGGCAGCAGTGATCTTCTTATCGCTGGTGCAATGCTTTACAGGTTCCTGCAACTAAAAATAATAAGTGCACTTTTTTTACCTGCAAAAAATGTGCATTTATTGTTTTTGGTCAAAAGGTGAACTTTTTTTCTGTCAATTGATTCTAATTGCATTTTTTTTTTTTTAAATCAACATGTCATACTTACCAGCTCTATAATGCTTTTGCACAGAGCAGCCCTGATCCTCCTTTTTGTGTGTCCCCAGGTGGTGCTTCTGGCCCCTCCCCACCCACAGTGCCCCCATAGCAAGCTGCTTGCTATGGGGGCATTTATGCGGGCTTGCTACTGAGCCGGCTCTGTGCGTCCAATGAAAGAGTGCAGTGTCGCCTCGACCTGATGCCCCCCCCCCCCCTCGTTCTCTTCTCACTGGCAGAAGCCAAAGGCTCCATTGGGGCAAGAGCTTCTGCTCATGTACATCGCAGGATTGAGATCAGGTTCAAGTATAAGGGGGTGCACAAACCTAACTTTGAATTCAGATATTTAAAATAAGGAAATTAAAGCTTCTATGAACAGGTCTGTAAAACCTGCATGATACTGTACATCACCATGTTGTATAAATCTTTATACAAGGTCAGCAGCATGTTAAACTGGCTCAGCATTAGTTGTTAAAACAAAGGTAAAAATGTAAAATATGCAAGTCCGTGGTAATTATTTTCCAACACACAATATTGAACTGTGCATTTCTCTGCCTGTACGTAGAAAAAAGTCATGCCTCAGGTCAGCCACTGTATTGTTTGCAACCTGTCCCTGTCCTTACATGTTCAAAGGTAGGAACCAGTACAGAAGAAAAATAAGCTGTTACTTACTGTAATGGTTTGCACATATTTTTAGAGTCTTATCTCTTCTCATCAAAAGACGGATAGTTCCCTTCTCCTTGTGTTTGAGGAGTTTTACATCACCAGTGCCCCTCTCTTTCCACTCAGGTGGGTCATTTTCAGATGCAAATCTGAAAAGCTTTGCTCTCCTGTTCAAAGCAATATACAAAAGACTTCTAAGAAATGACAATAAGGGAATACGGCAAAAGGCATACGAAAACAATCTTTCCTGTGATAAACAGAGCTGTTATTGTCTGGGTCTCCATTTGTGCAGGGAAGGAGGCAAAATCTTAAAACTATTTGAATTCTTTATAGATAACATTTGGTCTGCCTAGATTATCGAACTTGTCCATCATACCCCCCCCCCCCCCCAAAAAAAAAAAAAAAAACCCCAAACATTTACAAAAAATATACACAACAACTGAAAACGAAAACTCACATCTTAAACTTTTCTAATTCATTTTCTTCTAGAGTTTTAATTTCCTGCTCAGGCAATGAAACAATAGGTTCGAAATGAGGATCGTGGTTGGCATCTTCTGGGGTGTCTACAGAGGTTTCATGCTCCTCCCGTGTAACCTAAAAAAGAATGCACACATTTCAAACACACTGGGATATTTATCAATTTTGTCACACAGAAAGACAGTGCTAATCAGTGGTGAGACAAATTTACTATCCTGCTTTAGTGGGTTTTTGGTAGGTGGATACAATTTTAAGAGCTGGACAAAAAAAAGTTTAGATCTTAGGCCACTTTCACACAAAGGGTCCGATCAGGACCGGGGTCCATTCACCCCTATGGACCAGCGGGTGTAAACAGACTTGTGTCAGTTTACACTAGCTGTACACAGAAACGTTGGTGGCCGAAATGATTCAACCGAAAACACCCCTATCGGCCATTGGCCCAATATGAAAAGCACCGATATAGGTGCCGAAATAACCCCACCACCCCTCTCTGCCACTGCCATTACTGGCTGCAGCTCGGTAGTTCTCAGCCTTACCTGAGAAACCACCGAACTATCCCAGAGCTGGGCAAAGAGATTAGTGAAGGAAAGATGGCCTCCACTCATCTCTATGCCCTTGGAGGACCAAAGCAATGTCACTCCCGGTTCCATTGCCTTGTAAACAAGGCCATTTTTTTTCTTCATTAAAGCACTAGATCAATGCTTTTTTTTGATCTAATACTTTACATTGTAGGAGAAATGTGGGGTCTTACTGACCCCATCTCTCCATAAAGAGGACCTGGCACTAATTATTTATATCACAAGGGATGCATGCATTCCTTGTGATAGGAATAAAAACGGATTTTTTTTTTTTTTTTAAAGGGACAGCGTGAAAAAAAAAAAAAAAAAAAAAAGTTTTAACCTTTTGGCACCGGCTGCACACAAATGTGTGGCCTCCCGGCGCCTGGGCCTTTATGCTGAGCGGTCGCACATTTGTGCGCAATTAAGAAAAACATGTGCTGACAGCGCGCTCCCAGCACACATGTCCAGTACTCATGGAAAGGTCCCGATCTCTTGCGATAAGGACCTTTCCCGATCATGTGACAGCGAATCACGTCGGTCACATGACCCAAAAACCCCGCCCCTGGCTTTTGAATCCCTTAAAGGGCTGGGAGGAACCGGCGCCAAGAGGTTAAAGTGCCCCCCATCCCCTCGTGCTCGCACATAGTGATGAACACACACATAGGTCACACCCACATATGTAAACCGTGTTCAAAACACACGTGAAGTATCGACACAAACGTCAGAGCAAGAGCAATAATTCCAGCACTAGAACTCCTCTAACGTTACACTGCTAACCTGTAGAAATTTTTAAAGTGTCACCCAAGGAGATTTTTAAGTAACATAGTTTGACGCCACTCCATGAGCATGCGCAATTTTAAAGGATGACATGTTGGGTATCTATTTACGCGCCGTAACATCCTCTTTCATATTTTACAAAAAACAATTGGGGTATATATTGTGTTTTTTTTGTCAATCATTAAAGTGTATTTTTTTCCCAAAAATATATATTAATTTTTAAAAACTGCCCATTTCAGTTCTCAGCTAAGTGCATCCTGAATTTTCAGTTTCAGCACCAGAATTTCCATTTCGAATGCACTGCTAGTTTACACCCAGCTACCTCTGACACAAAAAAGGGAAAGGGATCCATCCTCTAGAGTTTAAGCAAATTGAACTCTACTGTACGTTTACATCTGGCTGCTCAGAGCAGAGTAGGCTGTGTCTGATCAACAGAAACTAAGTGGACACAGAACTGTCACCCATAATAAGTCATTGCTATGCCTGTTCCCATTTGGGAGATGCCTCCCTCGATTCCTTACATGATGTTAAAACAGGACAAAGGACATTTACCCTTCGAAAAAGGTAATTTTAATCTTGCCAACGTCCATCTGCTCTGGAGAGAAATTCTGCTCATTCAAGTCTTGGTGACCACACAAGTAGAGAAATGAAGGGCTAGCTCACACTAGATGCAGTCCAGCGTGGTTTTTTCTGCATAAAAAAATGCATGCACAGTGTTTTCCATGTATTCCAATTGACCTAGTTCACACCAGTGCTGTCAGCTCCAGAAAAAAGTAGAACACGATGCATTTTTTTCTGCACAGAGCCATATTGGAACATAGCAAACTGCATCAAAACTGCACCAGAACGTAGTGTGGTGTGAACTGAAAGCAATAACATATCCAGAATGCATCCAGAGTGCATTTTTGTGGTGTGAACTGGCTCTTAAACTCTTCATTGGTGATGCAGAAATATATCAAAACTAGTTCTAACCATTTCCATTAGCAAACAGAGAACATGGGGAATAGGTTTGAAAAACTAAAGAAACATTCTACCTTTTGATAAGATCTGCAAACCGGTAGATTAGAACACCCAAGCTCAAAATATCCCATTCATGTTCAAGAATGAAAAAAAAAAAAACTAAAATTGTGCTGAATCAGCACTGTCAGAGTAAGCCACGTACAATGCAGTGAAATTCAGCAATACTTTTTTTTTTCTAAGCATTTGAATTTAGCAGAACATTAACCACCTCCCATCTGGCCCATGTATATAAACGGCCCGGACGGTGGCAGTGCAGGGTCGGTGGCCATTTATAAATGGCCTCCCTGTACCCTGCTTGTGCGCGCTCCCTGGGAGCGCGCAGCACCGCGATCCGGTGCCCGCTGTGTCCTCCGAACACAGTGGAATACCAATCGGACAGGACCTCTGTGCAAAGTCTCGATCATTTGATCACTGATTGGTCAATCAGTGATCACATGCTGAGTAGTAAGCAAGATGTCACTTCTGACATCATAGTTTACCAGGGTGGATAAAAAATAAAAAAAAAAAAAAAAACTGATTTTTTTTTTTTTAAAATCGGATTTTTTTTTAATATAATGCTTTTTGAGGAAAATATATTACCATCCAAAGGTTATTCCATCATGAAATAAAGATTTTTTTTAATTTTGTAGAATAAGGCTGTATATGTTTAATTTTTTTGGTAAATAAATTCCATGAATCCATTCACAATGTCATGCTCTTCCAGAGGTTTTTGTAAGATTATTGGGCACTTTCTCTGCCTACAAGATATTATCACAGATGCTTCGTTTACTTTTGCAGTTTCTTAAAACTGAATTTGACTCAGCAGAGATCACATGCTCTTCTTCACAGCAAAAATGTTATAACATGAACAGAGTTAAGAAAAAGACCTTAATCCTAACTTCTACAAACCTATGAATACAGAATCAACCCCTTCAGTGCTAAGTTTCAAGAAGTTCAGTGAATAGAAACAATATTTTTCTGATTGCTTGGAGTGGAATAGATCTGCACAAGAAGAAAGTGAAACTAAGTGTGAGGAGGAAGGGGCTGACAGTCTAAGTTCTTAAAATATATATATATTTTTGTTTAGCCAAATTAGGTAACAAACATGGATGTTTGTTTTAAGCAAATAATATATGCTGGAATGTTATTGTTTCAGTTGAATAAATCTATTTAAATTATTATTAAGGTAATGATTATTTTTCTCCTTCCTAAGTACAACAGAAAAGTTGTCTAAATATGAATGATTAACCTATTAAACTGGGGATAAAAAAAAAACTAATATGAAAAGTTGTTATTCTAAAAAATCTTCATCTACTTGCATATTAAAGTTATACCAGCAAGAATTAGTCTTTATGTAGAAAACTAGGATTTAAATCAAGCCTTACTGACTAGTGATTTAAATCAGTTTGATTTAAATCAAATCCACCCTGTTGCTTACTACATGAAAAATCTGTGAATGATGACAGAGGTCACATGGTACAAGGCTATTTACAACAGCCTTGTACCATGTGACAAGCTGCGACCAATCACAGCTCACACAGTAGTTCTCAATGGCTGCAAGAATGCAGGTAGAGAAAATGAGAAATGATTGCTTTTACAGCCTTTATGGTTGTAAAAGCAATCAGTGTAAAAAAAAAAAAAAAAAAAAAAAAAATCTTCATCACCCCCCACAAGTAGTACAGTGTCACCATGGTTACACTGTATTGCTAGGGTGAACAGTATGTGTAAAAAAAATTTAAAAAAAAGTTTAAAAATTAAAATTTTTGGTTATAAACTTATTTGGGTTTTTTTTTTTTTTTGTACTAAAAAGATAAACGGAACACATTTTGGCCAGGATTTATGATGAAATACTATTTGCAAAATTTTATATAAGAAAAACACTTCAAAATTTTTGGACTTTTTCATTTACATAAAAAAAAAAAATAAAAAATCCCAGTGGTGAATAAATACCACTAAAAAAAGCTTTATCTGTCTCAAAAAAATGCTAAACAATTTATATGGGTACAGTGTTGCATGACCACGCAATTGTCATTCAAAGTGTGATAGCACTGAAAGCTGAAAATTGACCTGGACAGGAAGGGGTAAAAGTGTCCGGACTGCAAGTGGTTAAAGAATGATGCACTTTAAGAGACATTAATTGAAGAAAAGTATCAAGTACCAACGTTACTCTTAAAGACACCAGTTTCATACTCTTTTCTTAAAACAAAATTAATTTTAGCTCAGATAATGTGTATTCGTGATACAAACTGCCTTTTATATTCCAATGTTTTTTTATTAATTTTTAAACACTATAAAACAGAGGCAATAAAACTCGCCCACACAAGGGCTATTGCACAGAGGAAAAAAAAAAAAAAAAAAAAAAAAAAAAAAAAAAAAAAAAAACAGTGCTCCAACGCCAACAGGGCAAAAGGTACGCCCATGCAGGGGCTATCAATGGCACATAAGGTACAAAACATTAATGCAACTGACTAACAACTAAAGGCAGCTGTCCAGTCACACCAAAAAACAGAGAGAGAAAGAAAGGGGAAGGGGGGGGTAGCAGGGGTCAAAGAGCGCCAGTATCAAACGCCATTACTTCCCCAGGCTAGCCGGGGGGAGTGTGGGAAAAGCATATTGCAACCACGGCTCCCATATTTTCAAAAATTTACGGTGTCGTTGCGGATGCTCAACATCTGCTCGTTGAACATCATAGTAGTCATACGATCCCGCACACCCTGAAGAGGGACAAACGGACTCTTCCAGGCCTGGGCAATTGTTCTAGTGGCTGATAAAAACAAATAA